TCAGCACTGCAGGGAAACTGAGTCTCAGAGAGGTTTAGTCACTCTGCTGCACAGGCATAAGATCAAAGAATCCAGATTCTCTGCTTCAAAAGTCCAGAGCTGTTTCCAATATGAAAGCATGTTCTCCTCTCTTTCTCCACCCTCCAAGAAGCTCAAGAATGAAGACACAGCCTGAGAAGGATCCCAAAATGATGCAGCCTCCAAGAAGAATGTGAGAGTTGTTAAGTGTAAGCAGGCATGCAGACACAATGCTACGTGCATGTCCCAGGTCATCCCATGTGACCTCATGTTCCTGCCTCTGGATGGAAACAGCAAATGTAAGCAGGCGAGTTTGTCAGTGGCAAGATCATTGCTGCAATGCGTTCTTAGTCTTGATGCCAGAGCATGTTATGGACCCCAAGTTGGGGGTTCAAGCTGAGACTCCAGGACACTGGAGGTGTTTATGATTAATTTCCTACCCTGATTGCAGAGCAAGGCCACCTGGACTTGGATCTGTGTCTAAATAACTGTACCCAAACTGGAAAATTCAAACGGTGCTAAAACTCAGAATCCACTTCYCAGAGGTAGGAGTGGGTAATGGACAGGTCATTTCCAGGGCTGGATATCTTCCCCAAGGGGCCCAGTCCTACTCAGAACTACAATGAGGAATATTTATTTCTCCCTCTTTTCCTTTCTACCTTCCATCCTTTTACATTTAATAAATACCTGAAAGATACCTACTCTACAGTGTCCTAGACCTTTGAAAGTACAGGTTTATAGAATACCAACTCTATCTTCAGGATGTTTGCTACTCAGACAGATGGGACAATGTGTAAAAATACTGATTGCTGAGACTCCCTCGGTGATGGTTCATGGGTCAACTTGACTGGGCTACAGTTTGTGGGCAAACGTTATTCTGAATGTTTCTGTGAGTGTGTTTTTGGATGAGATTAACATGTCATTTAGTGGACTTTGAGTAAAGCAAATTGCCAGTCTTAATGAGGGTGGGCCTCATCCAGTCAGTTAATGCCTGAACAGAACAAGAATGACCCTCCTTGGGCAAGAAGGAACACTGCCCTGGATGGCCTTCTGACTTGAATTGCAACATTGGTTCCCAGAGAGGAGCTGTCAGTCCACCTTGCAAATTATGGGCATTCTAGCCTGCATAATGCACCAGCCAACTCATTATTTAAACCTCTTTCTCTACATATACACATCCTAGTGATTCTTTTTCTTTGGAGTACTCTAAGTCCTCCAATGTCACACCCTTCAAGGGTCTCTGTGCCGGTGTCTCCTTCCCCAGCTTCCTAGTGGCTTCCAGGGTTCTCTTAATGAAGCACAGATCTGCAGATATTGTTCTGCTTACAGTTCTTCCATGCACCTACCTTCCCCACCACTGTCTCCCAAACCTCAGCTGTCCATGCTCTATCATCTTCATGATTGTTCTCAGACTTTCTTATTGATGAAACCCAAAGGAGTGAAATAGACTGAGAAAGAACTAATTTTTTTCACTTTATTGTGTAACTAGATACTAAATTTGCATCTTGGGTATCATCTGGGAATGTATTCTTTCCCATGTTTGGGAGACATCCAGTTACTGAAAAAAATTCATTCTTCTTTGGCATGGCCTCGGAAGCCCTTGTGCATTGATTAAGTATTTATTAAATGCTGATAGGCACTGAACAATTCATCCCAGCCATGTGGAATTGTTTGTACCTACCCCCTAAATGACACCTATATCCTGTACCTCTATTTTATGGTTTAGATATGAGCTGTCCCCTAACAACTCATGTGTCAAAAACTTGATCCCCAGTGCAACAATGTTTAGAGGTGGGGCTTTGGGGAAGGATTGGAATCATGAGAGTTCTGACCTGATTGTGGATTAATCCATTTGTAGGTGAATGGATTACTGGGAGGTTGTGGAGGTAGGACCTAGTTGAAGGCGTGGGTCCTTGGGGCATGCTCTTGGGGATTGTGTCTTGTCCTTGGCTCCCTTTTTCTCTTTCTCTGCTCCCTTCTCTAATGAGCTGAGCAGCTTTTCTTCACCACATCCTTCTGACATGATGTTCTTCAGCCTCATCTCAAGCCCAAAGCAATGTAGCCAGCCAACCATTGACTGAAACCTCTGATACCATAAGCCAAAATAAATCCTTCCTCCTCTAAATTGTTTACTTCAGGTATTTTGGTCATAGTGATAAAAAGCTCACTACTACACAGTTTCTGCCTTTCTTCTGTGTTTCCTGGAGGACTTGTTCTGACACCTTAAAATACAGCTGCCTTCTTTGAGAAACTGTCCTCCAAGTACTCTCCAGCACTTCATGCTCTCTCAATATTAGTATTTATCATTGTCACACCAAAGGTAAGTGCTTTTCTCTGTGGCTAGAGCTCAAGGGTTTGGGGACATGTTTTGTTTATTGTTGGGGGCTCTCAAAGGAGTTCCCCAGTATGAAACTACCTATCTTAGCTACCTGGATTTTGCACAGAATGAGAGATAAAAGAGGAACTAAGGAGCTCATTATCACTTTTTTTAATGGATAAAAGCTAAATTAGAGAACCTGGATGTTGCACAAGGCCATATGGTCCTTCTGAATTAATCCAAATTAGATGGTCTCACTGGTCATACAAAGACCACTCAAGACCAGTCACAGGGTAGAAGAGCTGAGAAGTGGCTCAGTTAATTTGCTCCTTGAAGGCTGTTCTCTTTCAGGAGAAATAAGGGCAAGCTGGGTTCTACAAGCCTGTTTTTTTCTTCCCATGCTACCAATCAATGGTTCTTAGAATCCCTCTTATCCACCCACAGAATGAGGCAAGGGTATTTCAGATAAACTCTCAGATGGCTTAAGCCATGAAAATTTAGAAAATCAGAAAGATGGGACCTCAGACATTAGTTATCAGGACTAACCCTCTCGTTTCACATATGGGGAAACCAAGACCCAGGGAGAAGGGACTTACTTAAGTCACTTAATTCTCACCTGAATAATCTGTAACTTTAACCTGTGGTTTGCATGACAGATACTATTGATAATTTGTGACACAATTCCCAAAGGCAAAAAAAAAAAAAAAAAAAGATAACTGTTGCTGCCCACTGTTTGGCAATGTTGCTAGAGCCTACAAATCCTGTCCTGGAATCATGGCCCTGTAAGGCAGTGCCATTAGGATATCTTGGCACAGGACTATAATTGTGGATTCAGGAAACCCAGTCCTTGGCTAACCCAATTCTTTCCACATAATTAAAAGAGGGAGAAATGAAATGTCAAGAGGAAATATGCATTTAATCCACTTCAAAGAGCCTTGTTCATTTCTGGATTTTGGCTTTTCCCCCTCCTGCCTTAATTCCAGTCACTGTAAATTACTCCACAAAATGGTTTTGGAATAGAAAAGGCACAAGGAGGCAGAGAAGCAGTCTTTAATATTTCATCTTCTTTTACCATCATTTAGGATATTCATTCATGGTAAGGAGAAGGAAATTGCTTTTGGTCTACAGATGAGCAGAATCACTTTTAACGAAGATAGTTCTTTTCTTTTTCTTTTTCTTTTTTTCTTTTCTTTTTTTTTTWAAGATTTCCACCTAAAACTATCTAGAGAATGAAGATCTCTCCTGGTGATGCTTGGAATAGAAGGTATTTCTAATTCCTTTTTAATGAGAATATGAACAAAAGTATTCCAAAGCAAGGGCATGAGTTCCCTGGAAAAAAAAKAAGAAGAAGAAAGCACTGAAATGAATCTCAACTCAAGAAATATCAGTTAAATGCTTTTGTAACTCCATCATTGTCTCCTCAGGGGAAAACATTACTATGCAAGCCTCCTATTTCAGTGAAAGGATCAGGAGCTTCTAAACCAAGAAAGGAAGAAACCGGGCGGGTTATTTACGAGTTCCGTGCCTCTAGAGGTTTTAAACTACTGCGAAATAAACCAGTTCCTTAACACTCTTGGGACCAACAGCCCGCGAGCTAACGGAGCAAACTAACCCCATCATCTGGGGTCTGCGCAGCCGGCCTCCCCCGCCCCCTAGCGGATTCATGTGGCAGCGCATCCCGGACCCCAGCTGAAGAAAAGCCGGCCACCCGCACCCAGCGCTGCATCCCGACGCTGTCCTCGAGCACAGGCTTGGCGGCGCTCTTCGATTGTCTTCTGTTCCTATCCAACCACCAGCAAAGCTGCGGGCGAGAGTATTCCAACCAAGGCTCCCGAATCCCAGACCTCAGCGAGTGACAAACTGGGTGCCTTCAGCTGCCCTCCCAACCTGGTCCCGGAGCTCACGCGTCTTTGAGTCCATCAGCAGCGGTGCAACTTCCCCGGGGAGTCAACTTTAGTCAACCCGAGGACTTGGTGCAGGTAGCTGGGTCCTGAGTGCGGGTGGACGGGATGGCGAGGGCTAGAGTGGACATCTGGGTTTGAGAAGAGGTAATGGGGTGCTTCGCGCTTCTAGTTCCTGGAGGCGCACAGGGTGCTGCAGGAGGGTATAAAGTGACAGCTTGGGACCAAGACGTGGAGCCCTTGATTGTCAGGGGGCCAAGACGCTTGTTGGACTCCTGAACCTTCGAGGCTACTGGGCTGAGGAGGATCTCTGCGGAAAGTGTCTAGGTCAGAGGTCTGGCTGACAGCGATTGGGCATCCTGGGAGATTGATTTTTAGGCAGGAGTCCCCCTGGGAGGGACTGCTGGACCAGAGTTCTAGGCAAGCAGCCGTTATTGAAGTTCAGGCAGTGATGGCTGAGCGTTTTAGAAACAGGAGATCGGAGGGGGATAGACCTGAGTGAGGCTTTCCAGGCAAGTGGCTGTTTGGGATCTCTGGGAGAAGTACATGGATTAAGGTTTAATAGGAGAGGGGCTGATTTGGGGATCCCGCAGGAGGTAGCTGTGCTGAGGGTCCTGGGTGTGTAGTGTGTTTGGGGAGACCGCTGGGGGAGGTGACTGGATGGGATATCCCAGTCCCGGAGGGAGCAAGGAAAGTGATTGATTATGGTCCTCCTCTCTCCACCAGTGGAAAAGGCTGGACCTCTCAAGAAACTGACACTCGGATAGAGGATTCCCGCTCATTTGCAGTGGCTGAAAGGAGGTACATCAACGGGGATTTCTGGGGTGGCGGCTGGGCAACCCTGTGGCGGGCAGTTGTGCCCCGAGTCTCAGGTGACTTGGAATCCCCAGGAAGGGAACAAGTGCTCCTGAACGCGTTGAGAGTAACGCGACAGTCCTCTCACCGTCCTGCTGGTTTGTTGCAGGGTCGGATTCCAGCGGAACAGCCCCGGCGGGACTCCAGGAGCAGAACCCTAGGCGCTTCGCTCAGCGCTTTTGAATTGCGCTTCGGCCCCGCCCCGCAGCGCTACGCCTTAAAGGGCTCAAGGCCCGGCGTACCTAGGGCCACGGTCATGGAGGGCGCTTTCTCAGCCAACTGGAGCGCCGAGGCGGTCAACGGGAGCGCCGCGCCTCCTGGGGCCGAAGACAACTGCACTGCCGGACCTCCGCGGCGCAACGAGGCACTGGCACGCGTGGAGGTGGCAGTACTGTGCCTCATTCTCTTCCTGGCACTGAGTGGCAACGCGTGCGTGCTGCTGGCACTGCGCACCACGCGCCACAAGCACTCACGCCTCTTTTTCTTCATGAAACACCTGAGTATCGCTGACTTGGTGGTAGCAGTGTTCCAGGTGCTGCCGCAGCTACTGTGGGATATCACCTTCCGTTTCTATGGGCCCGACCTGTTGTGCCGTCTAGTCAAGTACCTGCAGGTGGTGGGGATGTTTGCCTCCACCTACCTGCTGCTGCTCATGTCGCTTGACCGCTGTCTGGCCATCTGCCAGCCGCTGCGATCGCTGCGCCGGCGTACCGACCGCCTGGCGGTGCTTGCCACGTGGCTTGGCTGCCTAGTGGCCAGCGCCCCGCAGGTGCACATCTTCTCGCTGCGCGAGGTGGCTGAAGGCGTCTTTGATTGCTGGGCGGTCTTCATCCAGCCCTGGGGACCCAAGGCCTACGTCACGTGGATCACACTCGCCGTCTACATCGTGCCAGTCATCATACTCGCTGCCTGTTACGGCCTTATCAGCTTCAAGATCTGGCAGAACTTGAGGCTCAAGACGGCTGCAGCAGCTGCGGCTCAGGCTCAGGGACCCGAGGGTTCAGCAGCGGGTAGTGAGGGTCGTGCGGCCCTGGCACGAGTCAGCAGTGTCAAGCTCATCTCCAAAGCCAAGATCCGCACGGTCAAGATGACCTTCATCATCGTGCTGGCCTTCATCGTATGCTGGACACCATTCTTCTTCGTGCAGATGTGGAGCGTCTGGGATACTAATGCACCCAAGGAAGGTAGAGCTGGGCGGAGACCTGAAGGAGGGAGCGTGGCAGGGGCCAAGACATAGTCCTGCTGTCTCCCCACTTCCAAGGTTCTTGGGTCCTTCTGGGGAATAAATGGGTTTGAGTCTCCAGCATCCCATGGCCAGTTGATTTTTGGCCGAGTAACCTCCCTGGGCCACTCCTTCATCTTCTGTGAAATTGAAATAATGATAAAGTGCCAACTCTTACCAGGCAAAAGGGTAGTGAAATGAGAAAATCACATGAAGTCCAGAGCACAGGCCTGGGCTAGCCATGGCTGGTGATTACTGAGGAGAAAACTAGGTTAGGGTAATCTTCCCCAGCCAGTGGTGGAGATAGATTTCCAACCTTGGCCCAAGTTCAAGCTCAAGCGTCTTCTAAAATGGACGATGGTCTTGAATCCATAATAAGTTTGTGAAGGCAGCCTTAGGAGGTGAGCAGTTGTCCAGCCAAACTCCAGGAAGTTTGGGGTCCCCTGGGGAGGTGAGAACAACTTCTGGAACATCTCGTCTAGTGGAGGTGATGCTTGCTTGGTGACATAGAGCGGTGACTCCCTCAGGGGGCACTAGGCAGGTGCAAGACTGAGGTACCCAGAATGGAGACTTCCACTTAGGGGGATGGGGAGGAGGGTGATCAGATTGGACTGGGAGGCTGCATGATTCTATATTGGAGAGCAGTCAAGCCTTTTACCTTGTAGGACAAACAAGGTTACATGACTTGACCTGTATTAGTTGGAAGTCCAGAAAGAAGTGGTTGAATGGGACTTCTGGGGAAGAGAGCTTTCGGAGACAGAGCACCCTGGGGGCTCTGTAGCTGGTGCTGGGCAGCTGTCCCCAAAGCACAGTGCTCCAGAGAGCTTCATCCTCACGGCTATTAATTTCAGTGGCTTTTTTGGGGGAAAGAGCAGGAGCCCTGATCATTGGTGCCCAAAAACTTAAACCTTCTTGTTCAATGTTAAACCTGTGACTTAGAGGATAATGCTTGTAGGTTAAGACCAGGGGATTTCCTTCTACCCTATCTATCCTCTAGGCAACACACTGTCCTGTTTCTGGATAAAATAATTGCTTCTCCCAACAGTGTCATATATATCCATCCTGTGAAGTTGAAATCTCAGTGCCAGCTGCCTTCATTCAGATTGATAACTTTGCTTTGGTCCCTTGCAGAAACCACAGACACCTTGTTCCTTAGGAAGCCCTCCCAGATAGGAGGACACTAGTTATTCAAAATGTATTGAGTGTCTATGGGATGGCGTTTGGGGTGAGGATTGCTGTGAAGACACAGTAAAACTATTCCTGACTCCCTGGTGCAGGCACTGGGCATGCCTTGCACAGGGTTCTGGGGCCCAGAAAGGAGGAGCTACTTGTATCCTGTCACACAGCAAGTTGGAGACAGAGCAGCAACTAGAGGTGGGGTTTTCTCACCAGGCCTGTTATCAGGGGCACCTGACTAGGGAGTTGGGGTACAAAACCCAGTGGTGGCTGTTTCTAAATAAGTCATCAGGGCACACCCATTTCCTTGGCAGGATTCAGAGACCAGACTCAGGTCTTAAGGAACTCCAACCCCAACTGTCGAGGGAGCAAAGCTGGCACCCCTCAGAGCACATACTGGGAGTCCTAGGCTCTAGTTCTTCCTCCTGCCCTACTAGTGTGGGATATTGGGTGAGAGATCCCTTTATCCCTCTGGGCTCTTACTGTCTTGCATTTAGGATGAGAACATTTCAACATTCAGTTCGTTCATTCTGCAGGTATTCTGACTCTTGGAGTCAGGATTTGTGATTTTTTTTCTCCTTCTTTATCCTCCCACTGCCCTCCTCAAATGGCTTTGTATTATTTGACTCCTTTTAATGTGCTCTTCTTTTTCTTTCTTTTTCTTTCCTCCCTTAACAACTAGAGTATGTGGTCACATACTCTAGTATGTGACACACATGGAGTGAAGTTTCTATCTTTTCTATGCTGTAAAAGTACTTCAAAGTATTTATTTCTCTGTCTTAAAATGAGAGAGAGAATGAGAAAGAGTCTAAGTGTAGGCCAGAGGCCTTTGGTCACATATAGTCTAAGGATTTCCCTGTGGGTGCGGCCCTCAGTAGAGAGCTACTAATCAAGCTCAAAGGACAGGGGAGAAGTGGACTTTTAGAATGTCCAATCCCATATCTCTTTGCTCCTTTGCTCTTATCCACAAGAAAAGGCTTCTCTTGCTCCTCCTTGGCATTCTGTACTGGATGCTGAGAAAAAATGTGGAACAACCCTGGGGTGGGGGACTCATGATGCTGCTGTAGTCAGAACATACCCCACCCTAGCATGTGGCCAGGAATGGCCCAGATGTGAGAGATTCCTTGGGCACAGAGGTGAGGATTTAGATTCTCGCCACCAGCCTAGCCAAATCTTGCCTCTACCTCAGGGCTGCAAGTGTCTGAGTGGATGTGGGCTGAGCCAGGAAGAACTCAGCTTTGATTTAAATAATTGCCAGTAGGGGATGGTGTTTGCAGCCAGACGAGAGACATGGCTCAACCAAAAATATCAGCAGGTATTAAGGAAGGTTTGAAAGAGAAGCCTGCTCAGGCTACTCAAGAGATTTTGTCTGGGAGATGGAATTGACACATAGTCCCCTTTCCTCCCCAAAAGGGATAGAACTGATAAGAGATACAAAAATATCTAGACCCTTTGCTTGGCTCCCCCCAGGGGAGTTAGAATTGGAAGTTCAGAGAGCCCATTGCTACAGTGGGACCTCATGCATGAAGACCTGGGGGAGAAGCTTGGGGACTGGGAGCAATGATGCTGTTGCTGTGCTCACCAGTGTGTGCCCAGTGCCTGTAACAGGGATGGACACCCACTGATGGTACAACCAAAACTTGCTTGTCAAATAAGTGGAATAAGTGAGGAGGGGCTGCAGGAGATGGGACAGGAATGGGTGTGAAGAGCTGGACTCAGGAGGGAGAGGAACTTTCTAAGTAGCCCTTCAGAGATAGACCTGGCAACCCTGAGCAGAAGTGAGTGCTCTATCATAGCAATCAGCCAAACATCTGTCAGGGGCATAGGACCAGAAGGTGGAAATGCATGGGAGGCCAGGGTTTAAGTGCCACCCCATCAGTAGGATGGGCTTCCCAGCCCATCTCTGTTTCTGTGGACTTGTGATCCCTCCAGTATGTGTGCCTTCCCTCCCACAGACATTCTGTCAATAGTACTGGGGACAGGTGCCTTGGAGTAGCTACCTCTTTGGATAATCTAGCCATGTGGAGAGCAGGTAGGGAGAGTGGGCAGCAAGAGTCAGACAGCTTCATTCTTGGCTGTAAGGAGCTCTACAGTGAGGCCCTTTGGGTAAAAATTGCCTTAGATGAACCATTAATAGCCAAACTCTTGTGTGATTCAGCTGTGAGTTTTTTTCTGTCCTTGACTAAGGATAATGTTTTCCTTTAGAGTGTTCCAAGGTGACTCATTTTTTTTGTTTTTAGAGAGAGAGAATTTTTTAATATTTATTTTTTAGTTTTCGGCGGACACAACATCTTTGTTGGTATGTGGTGCTGAGGATCAAACCCAGGTCGCACGCATGCCAGGCGAGTGCACTACCACATCCCCAGCCTGTGACTTCCCTTTTTTCTCTCCAAAGATATAATTAATAATGGAGGAAAAAAACTCATTGGATGAGGCTTTGCTATATATATATATATATATATATATATATATATATATTTTTTTTTTTTTTTTCCCCATCCAATGGATATCTGAGTAGTTGGGGGAGGCGAGGAGGTCAAGCTAGGGTTATGGAGGGCCTTGGATCAGGAGACCATCAATGGAGAGGCTGGGCTGGGTCTGGGGCCATGGGCTGGCCCATCTATTTACCCTGTCATCTTCCACTGCTAGAAATTGGAAGCAAAGAAATCCCCACAAGCTCACTCTTAGGGGCTGGGGCTGGAGGATTCTCACGTATACTTCACCAAACCATATATATACACAGGGTCTGCTTGCAAAAGCCCATGGACCCTGGGAAACAGCACTGGCAAGAAACAGAGTCCCCTTGAGAGACTTGGTCTCATTGCTGTCTGTTGGATTTGATGCTTGTCTTTCAAAGTTCTATGGGCTTTTGTCACCCCTGTCTGAGCAAAGGGCCTAACATCTCTCGATATCTGGGGATTAGTCTTATTGAAATAAAGAGTTGTATTTGTTGATAACATTAGTCACCTTTGGGTGAATGTCCACTCTGCACCAGACCCTGTATGTGCACCTGTGTGTCTGAACTTCACCTAAACACAGCAAGGTAAGGAGACATCATGCCCTTTCTGAGACGAAGAAACTGAAGTTCAGAGAGGCAGGACCCACTCAGGATCGCTGTTAAGTAAGCAGTGGAGTTTGGATTTGAACCTGATTTTCTCACACTATAGACTGACAGATCCCACTTCCCCTCCTTCCCCAACTGAGCATTTTCCCAAGGGAGGTCCACTGCCCTTCACATCTGCATCTCCTGGGGCATTTATTAAAAAGCTGATTCTTGGGGTGGAGGTGGAGCCCATCATTTTTTTTTTTCTTCTGGCTTCATTGTCCTGACATCTTGGATGCACATGCCCTGACCAGCTATACATCTGCTAATGACATGACCCTGTCAGTATTCTGGGTTCAATGTCACGTCCCTGTGGTCCTCCTTATATCCACTGACTCTATCACCTTAGCTTCTCTGCATGTCTTCTATTGCTACTTTGCTTCTTTTTCCATTTAAAGCATGATTTTCAACTTTGGCACTATTGACAGAGTGGGCCAGGTAATCTTTATTTTGTGTGTTGGGATTGGGGAGCCTGTCTTATGCTTTGAAGGATGTTTAGCAGGACCCCCCACTTTCTGCCAGGCTGGTGTCACTCTGTATTCTAAGATATATCTAGGTGGAGCAATAGCACTGGAYCTGGGAGAGGCTGGTCCTGCCCACAGCTCAGTTTTCTGGGGCTAAGTATCTGGCTTAAGTGGGGGAGGGTGGATTGTGCTGTGGCATAGTACCTTGCACATAGTAGG